GGTTGAAGTCGATCCTGTTACAACCTTCCCTCTGAAGGGCCTGACACCCCTCACGGAGTACAATGTTGCCATATTCTCCATCTATGGTGAAGGGCAGTCAGAGCCTCTGACTGGCATTTTTACCACAGGTAAGCCTTCCTATGGTTTGAAAAATTTCCAGGAGTAACTATATAACCACAAGTTGGAGCAGCTTCTTCCATTGTGATTTTGTAGACATTGTATTTTAATTTTTGTTTATCTTAATTGTTATTAACAAATGAACAATTAGGTCACTAAATTGCATACTGGCTAATTATTTTCTATCAAAGCAAGAGGAAAAGAGAATGATCATCTAAATTCAAAAGGGATCAGTTCAATAAAAATGTACATGGCTTTCTTCCTAAGCATACACTGTTTCTTTTGTTGTATTGTAAAATATTCCCAACTTTCTTTCATTCGTATGTGTGTATATGATTATTATTATTATTATTTTTTAGTTGAGCCATCCTGCCACCTGTTGGCAGCTCAGCTCGGGCCGAGACTCGAACCGCTATTGCTCGGAGCTCACACTCTTGAGCAAGCGCTTAACCAACTGAGCCACTCGGCCGGCCCTATATGTGTGTATATTATGTTGAACTCCCCAAATTGCTTATATCCAACAGTTTTTGATCGACAAAAATAAGTTTCATACCATTGAACCTAATAGTAGCCAAGAAGGTGTTTGCATGCAGCCTGAACTAGTAATACAACAATATGGACTATTTTAAATACTAAAATAAAAAATAAGGCATGACTGCATTATTTTCCTTATCTACATACGCATATACCCTGTAGTCACTCAATAAATATAAAACTTTTTTGACTTCTTGGTGGCAACAATGCTGTCATTTGCTTTCTTAGACCTATTAATTGCATTTGGAAACAAATTTAGTGCTATATGGAGGAGACGAGAAGGTAATTTGGAGAGAGATGAGAATTAAGGTGGATTAAGAAATAATGTTCACAGAAAAAAGTTCAGTAATTCCACAAAATCTCCTGAAGGCTAACTTGAGTTGGAATTCTCATGGTGTCCTATCCAAGAGTCTTAAACATCTCTGATTTCAAATAATAAAAACCAATGACTGACAATTCATTTTGGGTGTAGTTGCCTGTTATGCTCTCTGTTGTACATCCTGGAAGTGTATAAGCAGTGCAATAGGGGAAGGTCTGATGAATTACGTTTCACTTCTGAAGGCAGCCATACGTACTAGCTTAAAAGGGTGAAGCTTCTTCTCCAGGATTTAATTTATTCCTAGAGAGAGCTTTAGGCACGAAAGCGAATAAAGCTAAATGTTCCATTTCTCAGGCCTCTAGGATACCATTTTGTTAATTTCCTCAAAATACTTACACAATATTATCTTTGTAAAATAATGAGTATTTTTTATAGTTAATGGAAAGAACTAAGTAGAGAACCTAAGAGTTCTGGAAATCATTGGAAACTTTGTAAAATCAGCTGTGCTCATGGTCTTCCTAATTTACCCTGTGGTTAAATGCTGGAAACAGAAACAGGAGGAAGGCCACCATGTGCTTCCATGGGCTTTCCGAAAGCAAGGGATTCCTCGGAGAGAGTCTCCTCTTCCTCTGGTCCCAGGTGCCGCCCCCAGGTGTGGCCTCCAGGTGTGGCCTCCAGGAGCTGCCCAGAGTGATGGCTTTCTTGCCTTCTCACTATCCTAATAAAATCTCCTTCCTTGGTTTATAGAGGAAGTTCCAGCCCAGCAATACTTGGAAATTGATGAGGTGATGACAGACAGTTTCAGGGTGACCTGGCATCCCCTCTCGGCAGATGAAGGGCAGCACAAGCTGATGTGGATCCCAGTCTACGGTGGGAAGACCGAGGAAGTGAGTTGCCTGAGACAGGCTGAAAATTAATCTGCAGCGTTTCATCTGAAAGTGCATACTCCCTGCTGCATTTGAGTTGCTCTTCCCTTTAAAAATAGGTGAAGGACCCCAGAAGGGATTAATATGTTGCATGGCATGGAGTTTCCTAAATGTCAGATCGTTTGATGTAAAATACATCTCTCCTAGTGCTTTAGTGATATATTTTATATCTTTCCAGGTTGTTTGACTTTCATAAATGACATTTAATAAAACTTCAGAATGCCACCATTGTGATATTCATCGTTTATTTTCTGAGAGAATTGACAGGAATCAAACCTCTGGTTTAACTTTAAAAAAAAAAAAATTCAATGGCCCAGGGGTTCTTTATGCTTAGTTGTTTCTGACTTACACTCAGGATAATGTTTTTTCCTTTTTATTCATTCTCTTCTTCACGTTCTCCTCTATTATTCGAGTAAACCCAGTTATTAAGCACCAAATCCTTTCTAGGTTGTCCTAAAAGAAGACCAAGACTCATATGTTGTTAGAGGCCTGGAGCCCGGCACTGAATATGAAGTTTCATTGCTGGCTGTGCTGGATGACGGAAGTGAGAGTGAGGTGGTGACTGCTGTTGGGACCACACGTAAGTCCGGATTTGGCCAAGGTGGACATCACCAGCTCCCACCATCCATTCTGACACCTTCTTCACTCCCCCAGGTTTCCTGTCCCATCAGCCATATTCTGGGCCTCAGAGGCTTCGATTTCTCTTTGTCCACCCGAATTTTTCATGCATCCTTACCTTTAATGAAACCAATATCTGAAGCGTCATTGACTCTTAGACTATTAGCACCATAAAGGCAGGGAGCATATCTTGTTCACCATAATATCTCCAGTGCTTAGCACAGTACTTTGCATATTGTAATGGAGCAATAAATACTTGCTGGGTGGACGGATGAATGGAATAATTTATCATTGAATAAATGAGCAAACAAATAAACCGAAGACAAACATGTCCACTAAGAGTTTATGGAATTTCCCAAGTTGATCTTGGTTCCAAGAGTTGTGTACAAGATTCACTTGCTGATTCATTCATCCCTTCATTTTTAAACTATGAGGTATTAAACACATATTACATTTTCTTTGATTGGGTTGCCTGGAATCACATTCTGACCCAGAAAAATTGCATCCAGAAGGTTTATTGAGGAGCGTAGTTGGGAGACGCATCTGTAAGGAAGTAAGGCTGGCCGCATGAGGCATAGGGAAGATGCTAAACCGAGTCCTTAGCAAATTCTATTAGGCATTCTAGACCTGGGATGACCCCTCTGAGTTGCCCCAAATTGAGTCTAAAAGGCTGGGCCTTTGTATCCCTGCATCCCCGGTCATTGGAAGTAGGCCATCCCCTGACAGAGTCTATGACTTCAGGCCAGGCAGTTCCCGGAGCTCTGAGCCATTGGAAGCCGGTATTCCAGACATTGGTGGATGAGTGTGTTGACCCTGAAAAGGGGACCCTGGTGGAACACCACACAGATGCTCCACCCACTGGTTGCCCAGGGTGGATACAAGAAATAGAAGATGCACTTGTCTTCCTTGGTGGCCTTGCTCGGCAGCCTTTCACAACTTGATCTCTAACACTGTTTCATTTCCTTGAGTTTCCACGGTTTGGAAATTTGCCCCATTTCTGTGTTACTGGGAGGTTTCACAATTTTATAGGTATAATTCATGTGTTTCTATGAAGGCTGCTATCTGTAAGTAGGACCTTCACCTTCTCCGGGTTTCAGTTTCCATAGCCTCAGAACACATACAATGTCTGCCTCACTTCCAACTCAATTCTTCCCTCTTGCAACCATAGCCAAGGTTGCTGTGAAAAGCAAGTGAGATAATAGAGGGGAAATTTTCTTTGAAAACTCTAAAATGCTATGTACAAATATATAGAGTTCTTATCATTACAGTATTTTAAAGTAATGAATATTTTTTTTAGTTGACAGTGCTTGGACAGAACCAGCTACGACCATCGTACCTACCAGACCTGTGACGTCGGGTGAGGATGAATAAAAGCCTGTTTACCTATAAGAAAAGTTTGATTGAAACAGAAATTATGTTTATCCCAGTTTTATTTATTTTACATTTTTAATTAGGAACTAGGCATGTCAGTTCAAATTTTCCTCCTCTCAGAACCTCTCAATCTTTTCTTACCCACCAATGCCAGTTGGTCTTCTCATCTGCTGATCTCACTGTTACATCTCTCTAGGTCTCCCGCCTTTGTTTTGAATTCTCATTTAATCTTTCAGAGGATGTTAGCATGGCAAGTCCCAGAGTCGCTGCCTTCCTCTTAATCCCAGTGACTTCTCCTGTTGCTCTCTGTTGAGAATTATTTATTTTATATCATGGTTTCCTTGCATTCCTGTGAGTAACTAAGACCTAGCTGGTCTATTGGTTTTCCTGCATCAGCTGTCTTCTCCCTCACCTTAACTTCTCCTTTCATTATAGTACCAATCACAACTAGCTGTCAGAGCCACCAGGTAAAGCACACGCTTGATGATATCATTTATTTCTCTACCTAAAACCCTTCTGTGGGTTTCTGGGTTTCCATTACCCATTCATTCATTCATTTACTGAGTCATTCATTCTTCAGTTAATCTTTATTGAGCTCTCCTTTGTGCCCCCGAATCTCTTTATCATAACATCCAAGATCCTTTCTGGTTGGGTTCTGCTGCCTTTGTTTTTATGCGTTCCTCATTTCCTCCTGCCATCTTGAACTCTCAGCCCTGAAGGTAAGATGTTGCATTTCGTTCCCACTGCCTGGTAGCCTCCCCGAATTTTCCCTGGTAAATGTCACCTTCCTGCCTTCTCTGTGACACTTGTACTATTTTTGTCACGTGTTAATCACTGTTTATCTGAAAGACATAACACAGTCTGAGATACGAAAACAGCTCAATGAATGTTTGCTGAATGAATGAATGAATGAATGAAGAGAAGAGAGAGTCAGTGGAGATGGCTAGAATGAAAAGATGTCAGCACAGAAGGGAGAAGAAAAAATGGGACAAATGAGGGGGCAGGCCCCTTGGGAATATGAGAAGGAATGTGTCAGAGAACACAGGAGAAGGAGTTTGGAAAGCTATCAGAGAAAGGATAATACCCACGTGGGCTGAATGGATAGAGGCAGCCATGATAAGAGATGTGTGCTTTAAGTGACAAGTGTTAAAGCAGAAATTGGGGAACAGGTGATGGGATGTGTGTTGGGTGCTGGATCACACTGAGAGTGACCGCATCTGGCCCATCATGGCAGCTTCTCCAACAGAGCACTACTGTGAGGATTTCCTGAGCATGCTCCCTGTGGGCTTCCCTTTGGCTTCCTTAGTCTAGTAGCTTCTCCCCAGTTCCTTTACTAGTGTGTATACAGAGCTGATAGTTTTGAGGGGGACCATGGTCTTGTAAGCATCTCTTAAACCCATTTTTGTTTGCTCCTCATAGGAATCACGTCTCCCCATTAACCACTAAAGTGAAGCTGTTCTTCACACAGATCTACATTAGAGAGATACATTAAATGATACTTGTTACCATTTCCACCAATGGTCGCTATAGCTCATGGTGGAGTATAATGGGTTCAAAACTTTTTAATCCTCGGTTGTGTTTATTCCAGTTTTCCGGACAGGAATCAGAAACCTGGTTGTAGATGATGAAACCTCTTCTAGCCTGCGGGTCAAATGGGACATTTCTGACAGCAGCGTGCAGCAGTTCAGGGTGACCTACCTGACTGCTCAAGGGGACCCTGAGGAAGAAGTGGTAGGAACGGTCTGTATAAATCCAGCTTCCTAGAAACTCTGAGGTGTCCTGACTAACAGAGCTAACGCGGTTATCTCCAGAGATGAATGTAAGCTCTACTGCTCCTTTCTTGGCGACTCTACCATCTCCAGAAACTAATGTTTTCACTTTATCCAAACTTAACGATGGGTTTCTTGATGACCATTTTATCTCCAAACCTTGCTCCACATACAACCTACTTCAAATTGACAAAGCTTCTGAACCTTGTTTCTCAGGTAGTTTCTGCTGCCTTGACAACTTCTTAGAGCACCAAAGCAAAGCTGGATCATAAATAGTTGCCTAGACACTTATCTCTGTGTATATATATATATATATATATATATATATATATATATATATATATATATATATATATATCGGAAAAGTCATGACGCATTTTTGCAATGAAAAACAGAAAAAATGCGTCATGACTTTTCTGACAACCATATATATACGTATATATGTAACTTTTTGCCCTTGGGACTCTGATAAAAACTTTTTATTTATTTATTTACTTTTAATATTTTTATAGCTGAGCCATCCTGCCACATGTTGGCAGCTCAGCGGCAGCTCAGCTCGGTCCAGGACTCGAACTGCTGTTGCTCAGAGCTTGCACTCTTGAGTGAGCTCTTAACCAACTGAGCCACTCGGCTGGCCCTTGATAAAAACTTTTTAAGTGAAGCATATATAAGAGGTCTTCTTTATACAGTTGAAGTGTTTCTAATAAAATACCATCCATTAACAAATAATTATATTTTTCACTGACATCAGCTAATTTTGAGCAGAGTTATAGTCATTTCTAATTTATTTTTAAATAGGAGCGTCGGCCTTAGGGGATTTAAAGTTTTGGAAGTTGAGTTTGCTTTAAGTTGTTTCATCTCTGTTTGTTTTTCTGTATTGGCAACCTGGCTACCTTCTTAATCATGGCCTTCTCGTGTTTTCTTAATTTACACTGTACCATTGCTTTTAGCCTAGAACCTGAAAATTGTTTCCTAGACCCAATAACTCCACTTTGCATTCAAAAGAAATGTTTCTCTTTTTTTTCGTCATAGAATATGCTTTATTTAGCCTCGTTACTTGCATTTCTTGTCTGGGGCATTGTTTTTGAGACACTCTAGGAAAGAAGTCTCCAAATTCCTTATTGCTTGAGAATAACATTACTATACTTCCTTCCTCTTCCTTACTTATAAAGCCTTTGATGGAAAAGTAGTTTTATTTTTGTGCATGTCTAAACAATTCTTTGAGCCCTAAATTCTCTCAGGAAAGTGCTTTATTTCAGGCTGATGGAGGAACCATTACAGAACAGAGCGATAACCCTGAGAATAGCCATGTGTACTATGTATAGCCAGAAAGTACTTTCGGGAAGTTAATGGACACTTAAGCAAAATAGGTTGAATTATAAAGGAACTCAGACCATAGATTTCAAATTATCCACGACTGAGAAATTCAAAAAAATCAAAACCAGGCTTAGCAATGGTAACTAAAGATATAATTGGGGTGTTTTATTTTTCCTGTTATTGTTCTCATATTTTAATTGAGTTCCTAAATATGAGACCCATAAAAACTTCCCAGTGTGAGAATTTTGTTTTTGCTTGCTGTTTCTAGTCTTTCCAAGAAATACATTAAGCTTCTTGCTAAATTATTCTTGCTAATTTGGAAAGAGTAACAATTTAATCTCATGCATGCACTTGTAAGCTATGCAAGGTAAAATAATAATAATATTTTCTTTGGGTTGTCTCTAGCTAATTTTCCCTTTGGTAGTTTCTTTCATTTCACACTGTTTATTTCGAAACACTTGGAGAACCCAGATGAAGGAAAGAGAGATCAAAAGCCTTAAAGCACATGTGCACCAGTTAAACAAACATTTAATAAAAATGAAAAATATTGATAAATTTGGTGGTGATTATTTATTGTGCAGAAATGTTTTTATTATACAGAAGAAAGTACTCTATAATTCTTTAAATATTAAGCTCCTTTAATGAATTTGAATTACATTGGATTTGTGCATATTTACTTTAGGAACATATCTTCCGGGACTCAACTGAAATGTACTGCTATATAAATGTAATGTATTATTATTGGAGACAGAAAGTGGGTACATCTAGGTTTAGATTATAAAACCAAGGTAGGACAGATAGCTGTAGACCTCTACCAAAATCCAAGGGCCATGAACTCTCACACACCAAATAAATATCTTAAAATCATTACACATGGCAGGGAAAGATAGATGGCTAAAACATATTTAAAAAGTGGTAAAGGAAATGTGTCTGGATAAGAGAAATGACTTACCATTTTTTTTTCAAATTTTCCTTAACTCTAGAAAGTGCAAATTAGTAACATAATATTGTCACAGGGATGTGAAATACAGTATGGGGATATACTAAATAATGTTGTAAAGATTATGTAGGGTGCCAGATAGACACTGGACTTATCAGGAGGTCACTTCATAGGCGGTATAGATGCCTGACCAATATGCTATATGCCTGAAGCTGAAGTAGAAAAATATTGAATGTCAACTATAATTAAATATATCTATATGGCCATGGGATATGGAGTACAGGGTAGAGAATAGAGTCAATGGTATTGTAACAGCTATATACAATGTCAGAGGGATAGTAGATGAGGGTGGGGGTTATCACTTTGTGAGGAGTGTAAATGTCTATTACATTGCTTTGTATACTTGAAACTAGTAAAAAAATGCTGATTAAATTTACTTGAAATAGAGTATTGAAGGTAGAGTCTTAAGAGTGTGTGTATACAACATTGTAAATCAAATTCAAGCTTTAATATATGTAAAACAAAGGGAATTAAATTTAATTTTCCAATTGAGGTAAGTGAAGTATTTACATGTTTTCTAAGCATAATCAAATCTATCAAATATTTCCAATAAAAAGGCTTTGAAGTCTTAGAAAGCAAACCTACCTGTCAAATATTTCATAAGGTTTGACTTTCAACTCTGCTCTGAAATATGGAGGTATGAAAATGGCATTGCCCAAATTTTGTCATCAGGGTAGGGAAGTCTTATACGTCTTTGTCTGTGAGAGGTTGGTCAGGATTCCAGACTTTTCTAGAGCCTTGATGTCAAAATCCATAACTGTGAACCAATTCCCAACTTGGAAGAAATGTTCTAGAGCAGGGTTACTCAGGGTGGGACTCAGTCTCCTACAGGATAAATTCAGAGATTAAGATTGAGCTTTAGAAACGTTTATAGCAATTTGACATTGCTGCAATGCCCAAGGACGTGATCCTTTTTTTTCTAGCGATTTTGTTTTATTGTATTTCATAAAAATATTGGTCTTCAATGGGTTGGCATTGAACAACAGCACCAACACTAGGTGTAGTCTTTCACCACAGATGCCATGAGAATTCCTGTCTAGAAACAGAATGTTAGAAAACGGGAACACAGTGGTGTGGTGGAATCCTCTTTTCACTGAGGGAACAGCTTGTGGATAGGATCCAGGCTGCTCTGAAGAGCTTTGGACAATAATGAGTCAGACATGAAGTTGAATTTCAAAAAAAAATTAAAAACATGAAGTCCACTGTTTAGATTTGCATCTCACTTAACCATGAGCATCTTTTATAGAATTGTTTTATAAACAAACCCATCATCTGCTATGACCTCCAGCATCTGTTTTTGGTAGGAGCCCATCTTTATCTTGCAGAGGCCAGGCAGAAGGAACTTTGCAGACCCCAGAGGAGATTGACATTTTAGTATTGGGAATTAATATAATTAGGGTACGAAGATACAAGCAGTGTAGTCATGTGGGGTAGAGGGGTGGTGGTTAAAGCGAGGCTCAGGCCAGATATCTAGGATTTCACTATGGCACCTTTACTCAATAGCTGTGTGGACCTCAGCTTCCCCGTCTATAAAATGGGTGTAATCATACCTCTTATCTCAAAGGATTGTGGTGAAGATGAACTATATTAGAATGCTTAAGAGTAACACCTGACACATCATAATTGCTAAGTCAATGATGGATGTTGTTATAAACCACCGCAACGACTTCCTGGCAAGCTAAATGTATCCTCCAAAATGGCCTCAATGCTTTTCAGTATGCCAGAGTCTAAATTCAATTGGTCCTAAGGCCATGTGTTTTTTTTATTTGAGAGATGACTTTATTTAAGGAACATCAATATGGGTGGTTTGCTAAACAAACAGCTTAGAACAAAAAGCCCAGGCTCTGTGCTCCAGAGTGGCTCTATTTAGAAGCAACACCCCGAAGTGTAGCTACCTGAATGGGGTAATATAAGTCAGGGTTATTGTGGTTACAGTTCTTCCTTTTCATGTTCTTAATGCTAGGATTATCTAATTTAGCCTCGAATAAAGCAGAGCTATTTTTTAAAAGTCTCCCACCCAGGACCACATCAATACAACCCTGTATATTTCAATGTCCCTTTCCTATGAAAAGCAAAATCATATTAATCCACTATAAAAATCACCTAATTCAGACTTCCTTTTTTCCTATATTAAAAAAAATTTTTTTTGCTTATAGAGCTTAGCCATATCTTAGCAACAGCTGCTTCTGGGTTCAACTTGAGGCTTTCTAGGGCTTATTCCTTGATTTATAGGTTCCTTCTCTCATCCAGACATAGACAGCACAGCCCTTTGCCTCCTGGCATTTGAATCGAAAAGCATCTCCAGCTGCCCCGGTCTTGTGACTGTCTTAAACACATTTGGGTTAATTCTTACATCCTAACGTTTCTCCAGCCATGATTAAGTCTCTTAAATGGCCCAAGATGTGTCAGCCTCTAACTGCTGGAACACAGGCAGAAAGGCTTGTGGTTTTAGTATTGAGAACATGTGGGTTTTCTGGTCCACATCTTTTTCTAGGGATGCCAGAATGTGGCTCTGCCTGAGCCACATGGCGGGGTGCTCCAATGCTTGTGTGGGTCATTTCCACCATTGCATTTTATGTTTTTGCAGCCTTCAGAGACAGAATGGTGGTGATTTCAGAGACAGGGCGACATCTTTTAGAAATGAAAAAAAAAAAGCTGCAACATTTTTAGTGTTATGGGTAACTATATTTTGATCCGGAAAACTTGGATTTAAAGTGCAGTTCTGTTGTTCTTGGCTAGCATCCATTCTTTTCCAAAATGCTGGGATTAGATGATCTCTCAAAGGCTGAAGAACGGAAGGCTGCATTTTCGAGAGGATCGAATCAAAATAGAATCCAACATGATAAGCAGGCCGGGTTCTAGAATGAACACTCCTGAGCTATGAACACCTGCTTCCCAAATGATTCTCTCTTCTGGATACTTTACAAATGCTGAAAAGATATTGAGAGAAGACTATTTCTTGAGCTTAAGAGCTTCACATTTAAATGGCCTGCATTCATGGTGATAGACGAAGGGGTTGCTGCAGGGGAATTTTAGAGAGAAATGCTTTTGCGTGGGTGCTCTTCTTTTTCTCATCACTCCATGTACATCTCCTTGCTTCTGATTATTTCACAGTGCCTATATAGTCCTGCTCCATGAGTAGACCAACGGGAATAGAGGGCTTACTAAGACCATGGTCCTTTGATTTTCTGTGTAGGTTATGGTACCTGGAAGCCAGAACAATCTCCTTCTGAAGCCTCTTCTTTCAGATACTGAATACAAAGTCACGGTGACTCCCATCTACGATGACGGAGAAGGTGTCAGTGTCTCCGCCCCTGGAAAAACCTGTGAGTGACACTTTCTCCCTGTGGATACTAGCTGACTAATTAAATAAAAAATGTTCATCCCCTGTAATACACTCCGAATGACACAATGCATTGCGGTGAAAACAGCAAACGAGATTTGGAGACAGAAAATCTGGGTGTGAAGTCTCTCTTCACACATTCAAGCTGTGTGACTTTGGGCAAGTTGCCTCACTGCTCTGGACTTCAGTTTTATTGCTGATAAAAGCTAAGTCTTCAAAACAATTGCATCTTACTCTTTCTGCATCTAATTCATCACAAGTCCTATTGATTCTCCAAAATGCATTCGACATGCCTGTCCATTTTCTCTTCATCTAAGTGCTCTACCCCAACCCAAGCCACACTCATGCTCACTTAAATAAATGCCCAAGCCTCCTATGGAGTCTTCATTAGAGTTTTCCACTCTTGACGCCCTTGTTTTTCTCACAGCAGCCTGAAGAGCTTTTCAAAATATAAATTATCTCATAATTTGGAACACCTCTGTTCCAAGTCTTCCATTGGCTTCCCATTGTATTCAGGATAAAATCCAACATCCTTCCCAAGGCCCTACAAGGTGCTACATGACCTGGACCCTGCTGATCGCTTTGATTTCACCTCCTAATAATGGCCCCAGCCCTACCTCTTTTTCTGTTCTTCACTGGACATTTTTTTCTTTAACTTTATTGGGGAACAACGTGTTTTTCCCAGGATCCATTAGCTCCAAGTCAAGTTGTCCTTCAAACTTAGTTGTGGAGGGCGCAACTCAGCTTCAAGCCCAGTCGCCGTTTTCAATCTAGTTGCTGGGGTGCAGCCCACCATCCCATGCGGAAGTCGAACCGGCCACCTTGTTAAGAGCACGCGCACTAACTAACCAAGCCATCTGGCTGCTCACCAGCAGCTCAGTGGCAGCACAGCTCAAGTTGTTGTCTTTAATTTAGTTGCAGAGGGAGCAGCTCACTGGCTCATGTGGGAATCAAAACAGCAACCCTTTTGCTCAGAGCTCACACTCTAACCAACTGAGCCACCTGGCCACCCCATTCACTGGACATTTTAAGCTTGTTCCTGTCTCGAGACCTAATCACTAGCTATTCCTTTCACATGGAATATCCTTTCCTAGATGTTTGCACTTCTGGTTTTTTCTTGTCATTTTGGTCTCCCGCCGAATGTCACCTTCTCAGACTTTTCTGACCGCCCAGGCAAAGGAGCTCCCACTCTCTGTGATATCATCCCTTTTTGTTTCAATTTGTTTTGGTCATATCATGACACTATTTACTGTCTGATATTTCCTTGCCTACTCATGGATTTGTTTATTATCTGTCTCCCATCCCTGGAAAGAAGTATCATGAGAGTCCAGTCCCTCATCTGTACTGTTTATCTCTGCATACCAAACTCCTGCTGCACAGAGGAGGCCTCATGAAATATTTGTGTTAGATAAATTGGCCATGACGGTCAAGTGAGAATTAAGCCTGAGAACCCTTGGTCTCAATTGTCTCTATTACTGTGTGGTTGTCTGTACTTGTATGAAGACGTCCCCAGAACCTAGTGGCTTAAAACAGCAACCATTTTATTATATCGCACAATTTTGTGGGTCAGGAAATTAGGCAAGGCTTGCTGGGAAATCCTTCTGTTTTACATAGTTTTGGTTATGGCAGCCTGGGGCCTGGGTTGAGGTGGAGTGTTCAAGATGACTTTATTCACATGCCTAGCATCTTGGTGGGGATGCCTGGAAGGCTGGACTCAGCTGAGCCCCTCCGTCTCTCTCCATGTAGCCTCTCCATGTGGTCTTTCCAGCAGGATAATCATAGTCCTTACGTGGTGACTCAGGACTCTAAGAGCAAAAGTCCCAGGAGGCAGAAAGCAGAAACAGTCATGACGGTTGAGGGCTATGCTTAGAACCAGTACAGTGTCACTTCTGCTGTAGTCACTTGGTCAGGGTGGTTGTAGAACCGACCCAGATTCAAAGGAGGGTCATAACCTCCACCCCTCAATGGGAGGCGAGTCAGAAAAACTGCACCCATCTTTAATCTACCCGAATTAGCCAACAGTTATATGTGATTAGGGGCAGAATAGTGGCAAGAGCTGAATTCTATACCTGGGCCCCTAAGTGTGGATTTTTTTCAAGTAAGTGTGCAAGTCATTAAAATTCTGTAGCTGCAGCCCAAAGTCCTGGCTCGGGTATTATCTCCTCATTGGACCATGCTGGCATCTCTCCCTCCTCCCTGTACCCATGCTATGAGTGCCTCCTTCCAGACCCATACCAAGCTTTCACGTTTTGCTAAAGGTCACCCAGAGTATTATGCACTCTTAAGAGTTGCTACAGTTGTCTCCTCAGGGTTCATATGGAAGGAGAGAGAAGGCGGGAGGAAGAGCAGAGCCATGGGGGAGTTCCAACCTCTTCACCCCACTTTCACCCATATGTAGGCATCTTGACTTGGTCTGGATTTGAGCTACATATTGGAATTCCTAGCATACTTTGGTATGTTGCAGCTAAATAAGTGCTTGCAAACCACAGACTTCATCAGCAATGAAGGAAGACTATCAAGTAGGATTCACCCGACATTTGTGGAGTACCTCCTATGTGCTTTTACATGCATCAGGCTTGTCTGTCTTACATCCAGATGGTTAAAAAAAAAAGTAGTCAAGGATAGTTTACAATAAGGATAGTAAATTCTGCTGTTCAGAGTTGGTGTTGAGCTGTGTTACGTAACACTCTAATGTTCCATAATGTTACCGTAAAGCCACCACTGTGTGGAGACGGGGACAGGAGGAAGAAAGTCGCAAGGCAAAGGGACTCCATCTAACCGCTGGTGACCTGGGCTCGAAGATCTACTTTTAACTTCTGTATGTTAAAGATCAGCATAATATGTAAAAGGGTTCCATGTTGAACACACATATATACACACCCATACAAATAAAAACCACCTAAAGACTAGTACTATAGAAATGTGACTTAAATCTCATGACAGAAATACCATCACATGTAACGATATCTACATAGTAAAATTATTTTAAAGTGTTATCGGATGGCCTCCTTATTGTAAACAGTGGTAACCCGACTAAATTCTATCACTAACAATGAGGGTATTGTCCATCGATACGCATATGCACAGTAGTTTACAAAATTCCTCCTTATAAATGGCTTTTATGTTTTGATAAAGAGTTGATAAACTAATATAGAATTTCCAGCAATATAGGTAATGTGAAGATGAAAGCAAACATAAAACTCATCAGCATCTTACCTCCGCGAATTATCATCATTCCCATTGGATGATCACCCTTGATATTGCTGATCAAATATACTTTGATAGTGGAACAGAGTGGCATGTAGACAGAAATTTTAATACACATTTTAATAAATTTTTACTTAAAATTCACTTAAGAGACAGGGACCAAAATGACATTGAATGGACTGCTGATCTCCAGATTAAAGTGTTTCACTGTAAGCACAATTATTTTCTATATATTTAATATTTAAAACAACCATGGATTCTCAAAGGCTTCTCACTGTGTGTTTTGTGCATTTTCACTTGTAAATATTTTTAACACGGAGGGAAGATATCTTAAATTTTGTTAACAACAGTGTAGATTATAAAAATGAAAACCACATGAAAATCCTTTTTTTTCCTTTTCTTTCCTGCTCAGTACCACCTTCTGGCCCCCAAAACTTACGGGTCTCAGAAGAATGGTATAACAGGTTGCGTATCACGTGGGATCCCCCATCTTCTCCTGTAAAGGGCTATAGGATTGTCTATAAACCTGTTAGTGGTAAGTAATGATTTTATAAAATATTGTTACTATGATTAGGCACCTAAAATGTCTTTTAAGATAATTTTTGTTTTGGTTGTCTTTCTATCTTTGGTTTTATTTTTGGTTTGAGAAGTGGGAAGAGTCTTTTACTATTTTTGAAAACCAAACAAATAAAAGTATTTCTAGTATGGTCAGTGCTAGGGTAGACATTTTCACAGTAATGAAGTTGTGACCTTTCCTAAGAAATGACTGGACACATTCATGAGCAGAATATAAATTGGTGTACATCTACCTATACACACCCCAGACAAAGAACCAACCTAAGGAAACCTTGACTCCAAGGAAATAGGACATTTTGATGGCTCACTGGATATGTAAGCTCTTAACATTCGGAATCTCTAATTTCTAATTCCACTACGGCCTCTCACTTCTTAGATTGGTTGGGAAAAGTCCACTTACTCAATTCTCAGTCTCCTCATTTTGGAAGCTATGTTGGGGTATAAAATTCACCGAAGCCCCAAGATTGTGGTAGTACAAGGCTTTTCTGTCAGCCTCTTAGTCACGTGGATAAGGAAACCCCTCTCTCCTTACCACATCATTCTATCCTGGAGGCAGGAGAATGACCCGTGTGGGGCAATTGTCCCCTTGGTCCAAACCCCTGTGGAAATGAGACCGTGTACACCTTCCCCTGATCATCTCCTGGCACTTAGCACTTTCATGAAGTTTAACTGGGAGACTGAAAATAGATATTATAAGGGTCTTCTCAGTTGTTCAGCAGAAAGGGCTTCTCTAATTATTTTCCTTGATTTTGCAGGAAAATTGAAAAAGCATTCTTTGGGCCATTAAAAATCTCTTTCTGCCCTCAAAACCTCCATTAGTCTCCGTCTATAATCTGAGATGTTACTCTTGCTTCCGGAAAGCTTTTCAGCCTCTTCTGTGTCCCATTTGTCTAGGTTCATACAACTAAAACACCCACCCTTCAATTTCTCCAGACAGACATCTCTGTGGACAATGAAAATGAAATAGCAAGAATATACCGTGGATGCTCTAGGCTGCTTGAGATGGATTCCTTGGGATCCTTCACCGATTTTTTGGTTTCTTTTCTTTAGGCCTGAGGCATTTGTTAATTTGCAAAACAGATTGGCTCAGTTTGTCATTTGGCCTATTTTATAAACATTGATCAGATTTTCTGAGGGAAAATAGCTTTGTTTTAGGCCAGTGGTTCTCAGCTGGTGCAATTTTGCTGCCCAACAGATATACTTCTGATTGTTCACAACTTGGGGGGTAGGGAGTTGCTATTAGCATCGAACAGGTGCTGTTACGCATCACACAAGACAAAGTATGTCCTCCCCACTGCTTCAGAGTAAAGGAGTATCTAGACCCAAATGTCAACAGTGCTGAGGTTGAGAAATCCTATTCTAGGTCGAGTGGAAGAACTGTATGTTGGCTTTTGCATTGAGAGTTTGGTNTAAAATGTTGACTCATTTGACTCCATTTTATTTTATTGGTTCTTAAATTTGGAAGAGACCTTAAAATCCATCTCTTCCAACCTTCCTGCCAGTGAAGAAATTCCCTTTACAACCTTCCCGGCAAATAAGCAGTCTGCCGGAGCTCAGATCCTTCCAGCTATTTGGTTCTTTCTCTCTCTAGAGGCTGAACATGAATGGCTATGATCAATCAAGGGTTTTACTACATACTAAATTGGGATAACAAAAAGATTTGCTTTTTTTTCAGTTTTTCTTAAATTTTTAGTGTCAAATAAGAAGAGAAAAGAATACATAAAATTACTATTTAGGATGCTTACCTAATGAGGACATCACTTCCTGGTGATTTGCCACATGAACTGGTTTGATAGTCACCACTCTGATTAAGGATCCCCCGGTTCTTTTGCCAACCCACACCTCCATTTTTACATGGACTTCTCATCCCTCAACATCAGGGTTGAACTGATCTGGACACATGGTAGCCTTTGATATCCTTCCATTCATTCTTCAGAGCTGAAAGTTTTCCAGATATGGTCTGAGCAGAATGGAGAGTAAATCAGATTCCACCTAGGACCACATCCTGGGGCTGTAGGTTGAAAAGGGGGGAAGTGCCATTGAACAAGGATTGATGGTCAGTCCTTCTTTAGGCAGACTGGAAACGAAGTTTATTGTATATGTGAAAGCAGCCAGAGACTAATTTGAAATAGTTGGCAGGATTCGTGTCTTAAATCGGCATTAGGGCCACTCTGTCATTGACAGTTTGATTGCGTTCACTCCTGCTGGGTTAACTGAATTGTGGCAAAATGGCACCAAGCCTTCAGTCCGAGGTTGAGGGGATGGATGGAGCCAGTTTTCACAGGCTCTGGCTGCTATAAGATAGTCACTAAATTCACTAAACTCTCTAAGAAGGTAACTGCTCCAACCATTGACTCCCCTGAAGAACTATTACTTCGTGACCTCCTTCTTTTTGCCACAGATGAGATGGCTAATTGATGTTCTTCTTTCTTCTCCTTTACAGAAGCACCTCCTACTCAACCACCTACTTTTCCTCCGACCATTCCACCAGCAAAAGAAGGTAAAAGAATACAATAATGATGGGATTTTAGGTTTAAGGTTTTGTTGGTGTTTTTGTTGTTGCTCATTTAAAAATTGAGGTATTAATAAAAGATCTTTTCTCCTTTATACAAATGCTTATCAAACTCTGATAGGATACAGACTTATAACCAGTAGTAAATAAGACATAGGGATCTAATGCACAATATGATGAATATTTACAATAATATTATGCTAAAATTATGTAATGTGATAGAGGTGCTAAATATTGCCACTGTGGCACCCATACTGCAACATATAACCTTAAATTAACACACTATTCTATATCAAATATATTGAATTTNTACTAAGTATAAGACTCACACTGCCAAACCACCCCCTATACTTTTATCTTTTTATAACATTTAAGATGTTGACATGAAGGGACATAGGCTCCTTAGGATAGTCCTTGTCTTTCATAAAAATTTTAGTTATATGGGTTGACATAAAATTGTACCAAAAATGGCTTATCAGGGGAATTGGTGAAATGCATAGGTATTTTTTACTAAATGCTTTTAGTTTAGCGTATTTGCAAAATAACCCTGGGATTCTTATCAGAGGATGTGACTGACGCGTCTGATAACATTGATCTGGTAACCCAAAACCTCAATAAGTTCTTTCTGAAGCCAAGGTCTTGCTAGCAAAAAATGAATCCACATTTCCTTCTTATCTTCAAGTTGGGTTTACTTGTACTCCTTCAGTATTATTCTCAAGCTGCACCAAGCCTCTTTAACGGAACCTCAACAGTTCAATTAAACAAGAGTGAACAAAACTGTTATTCAGTTTATTTGTCATCAACATTTATGAGCCCAGTGAGCCTACATCTCACTTACACAGTTGTCTGACTGAATATTATTCATCAACTGAACAGGAATAGATTCTAATTGACAGCCTCAAAAAGGAGTGTTGGGGCGGGGGATGAGCGTGGGGATAGCAGTAGGGAATATGTTTAAATATTTTAACTTACACGGTTTAGGTCAAGGAATAGTCTTTTTTTAGAGTGGGGAAAGAATTAGGTTGAGTTTCTTCCGTTTTTTGCCGTTTGACCTCTTTCACCCATTTCTCTCATCCCCCACCCCCTGTCTCTGGCAACCACGAGTCTGTTCTCTGTATCTATAAGCTCAGTTTAGGTTGAGTTTCTTAATCTTAAAGAGAAATGTGATCATCATCCTGACCACTGCCTTTGAAGGACTTGTGGTCAGGTGCCCATTCTTCCATGGCTGTGTAAGTTGCCTCTGCAGAAATTTTAGTCCTTGCGCCCCAGAGGAAATACTAGAGAGAAATGGTGCCTAATTCCTCCATGTGATGGAGGAAAGCTTTCTCCCAGGGTGCCCTATCTCTGAATGCCTCTGGCAAATTCCTACTGTTTCATAGGTAATTTTTTTTCCAGTTTTTTTTTTTTAACATATTCCCCATGGTCTGTCACATGCACTTGTGTTCTGAGATGAAGTCAGTGAAGAGGCCTCTGTTCTAACCATAGTTGCTGGTCAACTTTTCTCCTCTGAACTTAAGTTTCTCTAAAACACTTCTTTTTAGGATTTTACCTGACGCAACCCCTACAAATTTTCAAAGTTTTGGTGAGCAAGGTCATATACTATATCTTTCAGGTTTGTTTGTAAATAGCACAAATGCAGATAAATAAATGAAGACTTAAGCAAAGAAAGGGTCAATTTATTGGCTAGTATACTGAGAAGTTCAAAAGTATCTGGCTTCAGACACATCTGATGGTAGGTGTTCAAAAAATGTCACCGAGATTGAGTCTGGCCGCATCCCTCTGCTCTGCTGGCCTTGGCCCTGCCTTCAGGTTCAGCTCGATTCTGTGAGGTGGCCCCAGTTCAACCCAGAATTACATCTCCCAGCTTCCAGTTTCACAGTCTTCATTAAAACAGATCTTGTCTTTCTCAATAATTCTAACAAAAGTTCAGGAACTGAGTCATATTGGCTTGGTTTGTGTCAGTTGCCTCTGAACCTGCTATGGAGGTTCAAGGGC